CATAGTGACTCCTCCTTGGGTTTCGTAGGCTGTATCACTACAGAAGAAGATTGCCCAACCTTCCTTCCCAGGAGTGGCTGGTGGGTTTGAACCGCTAGCCTTCTGGTTAGCAGTCAAATGCCTTAGGCACTACACCACGAGCGCTCCTGATAAAGAACTGGAACAAGAAATTCCTGGGAAGAATGCATGCAATGCAGGTGGGAAGATCGCAAGTCCTGGGGGACATGGAGCTCCATACGGAGATCTGACCTCTCCTGGTAAATCATTTTTGTGTTTGCATCTTTTCTCTTTTGAATTAGGGAAGGTTCTTTCCCAGGAGTTGATGAGTCATCATGCAACAAATTATCAGACCTAAGGCGGTCATGGGGCTGGCTGGTGGGGGAGTCATGTGGACTCTGTAGCTGACCAATGCCCAGGTGGGAGAAGTTGTATGAAGCAGCTGGGGTCTGGACCTACCAGGGAAGGGAAGGCGCGCATTCTCTGGGCTGGTGTGATACCACACGTTCATGTCAACAGATGTGGAGTCCGGTGCAGTGACTCCTGACTCAGAGAAGCATGAGATTTCAGAGGAGAAAAGATAAACAAGTGAAAGATTCTGGGTGGTCACTTTGACTGATGTCATCTACAAATAAAAATCAGCTGCTTTCTTTAAAGAACAAACAGCGTCCATGTGTCAACACTTGGCTTCTCGTGCATACAGCTTTATCCTACTGGCTAGATGAAGCGCCATCTAGTGGTTTCTGCCAATAGGTGAGCTTCTCATCGTAGCAGTCTTACTTCAGCTTGGAATACTGGGGCAACCTGCATGTGCAATGCATGTGGACTGACAGAGGAAGGAACGAGCCAGTCTGTGAACAAACAGCTTGCTTACTTTGGATACATCATCAGAGAAGATCAACGACTTTTTGTAAAACAGAGGCTCAGCGAAAACAAGGGAAAGCCTCAATGAGGTGAATTGATGTGAGAGCCACAAGAGTGGAGTCATGTCATCAGTCTTGAGATGGTGCAGGACCAGGCAATGTTCCATTCTGTTACACAGAGAGTCTCCACCAGTCGACTCAGCAGCAACTAACAAGAAGAAACTGTCCCTGGCAGCCTTTCCCTCCCCTTCTCTCACAAGAAGGCAGGCAGCAGACCCAGGTGAGGCCTGGAGGCTGGCTGCCTGACCCTCCACTTACTCACTGGGTCCACTTGAGCAGATGAGTTGACCCAAGGCACTCAGGCGGGTGTCTGCAGATTCCTCAGTGTAATTGGTGATAAGGATAGCATTTACTTCATAGGGCTTGTTATGGATATTAAGTGGGTTTATACACGTAAAGTCCTTAGAACCGACTGGGCATGTAAGTGCTCCAGGCTTCATTATTGTTACTGTTGTTATTAGTTGGCACCAAACCCTGCTCGGTTCACAGCAGCCAGGGGACCAGAGTTGCAGCAACAATTCCATGGTCTCCGTTTGCCAGGAGGTGGCTGTGGGCAAGGTTGGTATTTGACCTTCACAGTGTGACCACAGCAGCTCTAAAGGGCGTCTCGCTGGTGCTGGCATCAAGTGCAACTGGGAGGGTTTTAGTTCCTCTCGTAATGCCCTAGTCCGCCCCATCAAGTCTCCTGTGAGCTGGAGCCCCAGTCTGGGGTGGCAGAGAGGAGGCGAACATTTTCAAATGAGGTGGTGAGTGCAGAGCTAGTGGTGGGTATGCCCTGAGCCATTGTGGTCGTCAGTCTCCAGTGAACGCTGTGACTTTCCGCGGCCACAGCCTGAACCCACTGCTGCCAAACACGCCGTGGCAGGGAAGACCGCCACACTTTGGAGTGTTAGGAATACTGCGCTCTGGGCCCTGGGCAACATAGGGTGGTTGGCGGACCGGGACATCATCCGGGCACCTGCGAGGGGAGTCGGCAGACATTTGGATAAAACAAATATTGAATAAATTAAGAAATCATTTATTGTGCAACTGTACGCGTTGGGAGTGTACAATCGAAAACCTTAGGGATAGCAGTGAAACCCTGATACATTACTGGAAGGCTTTGGGAGGGGCGGTGGTGGTTTCGTCTAATTTTGTTGTGCACGGGGTTCCCAGAAGTCGTTGCTGACTGGAAGGCGTCTAATAACAACAGTATGTTATTTTTTTAGGGGAGCGGGGAGGAGGCAGTGACGTCCCGGTGGCTGCAAGTCCGCGGCGCGAAGGCAGGTGGCGACAAAGGCCCATTCATCGATGCCATCCGCCGGCTCCGCCCCAAGAACTCGGAATCTGGACAGAAGTAAACCACGGCTAGGGGCATGCACGATGCCCAGAAAGGGCGCCTGGCTCAGGTTCAGGGACGTACTGGTCAGAGATGAGGGCCTTGAAGGGCTCGTGGGTCTGGGCCCAAGGCGGCAGGGAATCTGGGCCTAGATGGGCGGGACTTGTACCGAAGAAGGTGGGGCCGAAGGTGGGAGGGGTTATGCGCTCGCAGGAGGCGGAGCCTGAGGTTGCAATGCAAAGAACTCAGTGAGGGATGCTCTGAGTGGGCGGGGCTTAAAGCGCCGCCCAGGAGAGGGTTTGAGGACTTTTTAAGTAGGCGGGGCCATGACCTCAGAGTGAGGGGAAAGTGTGTTGGCCTTTTGTGGGCGGAGCTCTTCCTCTGTTGCAGCAGGTCTGCGGGGGAATTGTCCCTGCAGTTTTGAAAGCTCGGCGAGGGGGCGGGGCTTGCAGCTGGGGGCGGGACCTTCAGAGGAGGGTGAGGGAAACGTCTGCACTCCTGGGGGTGGAGTTTGTCTCTCTGGGTCAGAGTTGGTGTCCCTGCGGGATTCCCTGCACTCGTGGACAGTCTCGGGTTCTGTAAAGAGGCGGAGCTTGTAGTCCTGTTAGGCAAAGCGTGTTGAGGATTCTGGGCGGAGTTTATACCTCCAGAGAGTCGTTCTGCGCTCAGGCTGCGCTGAGGAGGCGGGGCTTACAGCAGTGGCGGGCGGTACCAGCGGCGCAGGCCTCTGTCGGGCAGAGCTCGAGGAATAAAGGGGCGGGGCAATAGATCTGCGGGAATCTCTGAGCTGGCAGGGGCGACGCTCGACTGCAGTTGGTGGGCGTGGCTCGTAGCTACGAGAGGCGAGGCGGACCGCTTCCGAGTCTCTGCCCGCAGAGGCCGTGCCAGGATGGGCGGTGCCTGAGAGTCCATAGGCGGAGCCCGGGGTACCGCCCCTGGCGTGGGCGGAGCCAAGGTAGCTCGGGCCGGGGCTCTGCCCGGGGAGGCTGTCTGTTTAGGACCGCAAGCGGTTCCGCATCTGGTGCTCATTACGGGATGACAAAGAGCCGGCTCTGGGCCCCCTTCCCCACTCCCATCCTCCCCTCCAAATGAAGTGCATTTAACCCCTTCCTGCCCTCGGGGCGTTTTGGATCTCCTACCCAGGGTCGCGAGAGAAGGAATCTTTTCCGTCTGGGCAGGTTTTTGCCACCCTCCCCTGAATGCTGCGCCTGCACCGCTTTCCAGGACGCAGGCGTCTGAGCCGCCCTGCGACCCCTACCCCCAGCCACCAAACCTCCCCGGTGGCGTCTCTGAGGTTAACAGCTTGGGCAGAACCTGGCCGAGAAGTCTGGTTTGAGTTAGGGGAACGTGAGAGCTGGGGTCGGGGGTGGTGCGTAGCGTTCCCTCCGCCCTCTCTGCGGCCCCCAGGTTCGCTCAGCTCCAGCCCCTCCCCTCTTGGTCCCCTGAGGCCCAGCCCAAGCCGTCCAGCTCCGGCCCAGCTCCTAGAGCGAGAGGGTGGTGTAGGGCTCTGCGAGGAGGAGGGGGAAGACCCCCTCCTCGCCTGTCCGGGTGGTCTTGACGGCCTTGCCCCGTCCTAATTAGAGGCCCCGGAGAGGCTGCAACTGAACAATTACAGGGGCGGTGGGAACCGGCGCCTCCCTTGCCTGGGTCCCGCCCTCCTCCCCAAAGCTGTGAGTCCAGGCTGCGGAGGGAGGTTGCCGGGTCCCCCCAGGCTTGATCTTTAACTAGCCTCTCCTCCAGGTCCTGGGACGCCTCAAGCCCCGAGCAGCCTGAATTCTGGCTCCGCGGAGGTCCCCTGGGTTCCCTCTGTCCCCACACCGAAGAGCCAAGTGTGGCCCAGAAGGGAAGGCGGTGCTTGTGAGGCTGTCCGCGGAGCTGGAAACCTGGCCCAGGGTTACTTCTCGTGGGGTTCTTTGCCCTCCCATCCCCAGCGTGCTTCGCTCTGGCCCTCACCTCCTCCCCACAGCGAGAGGAAGAGGCCTCCAGGGATCTTACAACCCAAGGGGATAGCAGCATACTTGGGGGACCCTGAACCCCAGCCTCTACTTCTGGGCCGCCTGTGGGGATGGGAAGGGAAGTACAGTAGCAAATTAGAGAGTCCTACTCACTGCACGGTCCTTCTCGCTCCATCATCGCTAAATCCAGGGCCTGCCTTTGACCCATAAACCTGAGAGTGACTCCAGTCCAGCAGGAGCCATTTATTCCAGAATCTTCCGCTACATTCATCCTCACCTTCTTGGAATGTTGGTTTTTTTGTTTTTTTGTTTTAAAGGATATAGGATTTTCCTCCGCTCCTGGGTTCCTGTGTGACCCTGGGCAAGGCTATGCCCTCTCTGAGTCTCTGTGTCCCCTGGAATCTCTGAAGCGCACCCTCCCTTTAGGTGTCTTACCTTATGTCCTTGAGGGCCCTGCCACGCTGAAGGAAGGCCCCCCTCCTTTTTTCTGCATCCTTTCAGACCCTCCCCTTGGGCACCACTGGGGGCCAGGACCTCTGGGCGAGGTTGGTACCCCATTTATTGGAGAAGACCCAGCACCCATCCCCTGAGGTCCTGGGGGCCTCAGCCTCTCCTCTGTTGTGAGCACCAGGCCGGCGAGCAGAGTTCCTGCGAGTCAAGTCATGGCTGATGGAGAGAGGTGCCTGGCTGGGTGGGGGGAGCGGCCCTCTGTCCAGGTGGGTGGCCCCTGTGGGTCCCTGCTGCAGCCTCAGCCATGTGTCCAGTGCACACCCCTTCCCCCCACCCCACAGAGGAGGCCGCACCCCATCACACGCTGGTTCTGCAGGTCTGCACTCCTGTGAGGCTGCCCCGGGGGGCCGAAGGTTCCATCGAGTTTTTGCCCGAAGCGTGGGTGACCCAGCGATAGCAGTCGGTGACACGCTTGTTTGGCGCATGCGGGCCACAACGGGTGCAGTACACGATGCCCAGAGCAAGTAGAACCACCAAGAAGACACACGTTGGCACCAGCAGTGCCACCAGCAGCCACCGGTCATCCCTTGGGCTTTGACCTGCCAGACTGGCCTCCTCCAGGGCTGTTGGGGCTGCTGTGGGGGCCACTGAGGGCTGCCATGGGGCCGGCTTGGGGTCAGGGGCGCCATCCCTTGGGACTTGGGGGACTCTGGAATGGGAGTGTGTAGGGCTGGTGGGTGAGGTCTGGTTAGTGCGGCTTTGAGGGGAGAGAGGAGGAAGGAGAGCTGGATGCTGGGTGGTGGCAGCAGGGACTGGATGGAAAGGGGGCCTAGAGGACCCAGGAGTGGTAGTCAGAGGGGGCGGGGCAGCTGGGACAATGGGACGCTGGGTGGTCTGGGCTGGGAGGATATCTGGGGCTTGAGGGGGTTGATCGGCACTGGGGGTGGTGACCAGTGGGGCGTGGTTAGCTGGAATGCCTGTCAGATGAGTGGTGGTCGGGGCCTCAGTGAGCTGGGTGTCGTGGGCCATGGGGTACTGGTGGGCAGAGACTAGTTCAGGATGTTCGGCTGAGATAACTGGGGGTTGGGGGGCTGGGGGCCATGCTGGGTGAGTGGCAGAAATAACGGGGGGCTGGCGGACAGAGGGCAGGTCTGGATAGTTGGCTGAGAATCCAGGGAACTGATAGTCAGGGGGCAAAGCTGACTTCGTGGCAGGGATCACGGGGAGCCGATGGGAGGGAACCAGGCGTGGACCTGTGGCGGAATTAATGGGGGGCTGGTGGGCAGAAGGCAGTGTGGGGCGCGTGGCAGAGATCACCATGGGCCGGGTGACGGAGAGCACTGTGGAGTGGTGGGGGACGCGGGGGACACTGAGTGGGGGCGGCCAGGTCGGCTCCGGGTAGGGCCTCTGTGGCTCTTGGGCCTCCGGGAAGCTGGGCCTGTAGGCCAGGCCGAAGTCAGTCAGCTGCGTGGGCTCCATCCAGGGCATCCCTGGTACCTCGGTCCAGCCGCCATCGAAGGCCTCCCAGTCTTCATCCTCCTCCTCCTCCTCTTCATCCAGCAACTCGTCTGCAAGGTCCTGGGAAGCCCTGGCGCCCAGGGCCCCCGCGGGGCTGCAGCTGATCCCGTCGGCCTCCAGTTCGTGGCCCTCACTGCAGTAGCACTCAAAGCCACCAACGTAGTTGACACACATCTGCTGGCACACTCCAGCAATCTGGCACTCATCCGTGTCCACACAGCGGTGTGGCTCGTCCTCGGCCGGTCGGAATCCCAGACGACAGTGGCAGCTGTAGCCCTGTGGCCCGCCGGGCTCACACTGCTGCTCACAAGGGGCCTGGGCGCACGGGTCCTCGCAGCTGTGTCCATCCGCCGCCAGCTGGAAGCCCTCAGAGCACCGGCAAGATGTTCGTCCATCCACTTCCACACACTCATGCTCACAGCCCCCGTTGTCCGGGCCACAGCCAGTCCCTGGGCACACGGGTCCAGCCCGGGACCAGCCCACGCCGCCCTCGGGCTGCTTCACACAGAGCAGAGAGGCCCCTCTGCCGGCCTGGCACTGCACCGCGGCCACGGAACCAAAGGGCAGCCACTCAAAGTCGGTGGAGACCAGGTGGAAGGGCGTGGTGTAGACCGCGGGGCCCACCTGGCCTGCCTCCTCTGGCAACGCGGGGCAGGCGCCCTCGAAGCCGAATTGGCACAGGTAGCCGTCGACGGCCACCGTGCACGAGCCCTCGAGCCAGCGGTGGTCGCCACTCGCCTCCAGGGCGGCGCAGCGCTGGGCCGGGCAGGGCCCGCTCGTGGCTGGCAAGGCCCAGTTGGTGAAAGCCGTGTCCTGGTCTCCCGTGGTCCAGGTGAAGCCGCGCAGGGGTCGCTGCGGCTGGCACTGGCGCGCCTGCCGCTGCAGGCCGATCCACAGCAGCCGG